GAATTTGAAGGAGTGGGGGAGTTGGAGGCAGAAGGGGTGGCCTCAGTATCTTGATTAGGGTTGCCCTCCAAGTTGGCTTTTTCCTCTTTAGAATGATCTAGCCAGATAGAAGGATCAAAGGACTCGAAAACTTGGAAAAAATGAGTATAGCCCAGCCTATACCTTAGCAATATGTGAGCAGCCCACGTAAATGGGTTCTCTTGCTAGTACGACCACACTTTTAGAATGTCATCAAAGGTGACTAAGGATCAGAGTGGTTGTGTGGCATTCCTCTTGAAACCTTTTGTAATAAAGGCAAAGGATAAGAAGATTAGCACCTGATCTTTCTCTAGAGCGTGATGGGGATGACTTGTGACACCCCTAAAATCGGGGGTCCTTTTTCAACCATTGACCACCCCGTCAACCCGTGGAAGTAGACGTGATTGTCGCACAACCCTACATCACATCAATAGCATTCCCTTAACTGAAATTTTAACCCACACGTGTAAACCGTGTACATCTTATCAATTAATCAAAATGTGGTCCAATGCACTACATTTCATATTCCATTATAGTCCATTTACATCATTGGGACCAAAGAACCCATAGTCCAAAAGCATGGCGAAACAGTTTTAAAATTTCAGATTTTTGGAAGGCCTACCGGTAGGATGAGCTCACTGAAAAATTTCTACCGGTAGGGTTTGCCTATTGGAAATTTCTACTGGTAGGGTTTGCGTACTGGACAAAGTTGTACCGGTAGGATGTACTGGTAGGCTTTGTCCAATTTTTCCTGTTTCACCTGTTTTCAATTTTCAATCTATTTCAATCCCTTCTACCACCATCCAAAACATGCTTAATAAGGTTTTTCACATAAAACCTAATATATACAAGTTCTATTATATCAATTTCGTACGGTTACATACCCAAAACATAATTTTCACAATAGTTTTACAAAAAAAAAATGAATTCAAGGCCACAAGTAGGCCTTTCTCATCATTGGGGCCTCAAATGAGAGCCATCCACCTGTGTGTATCCCGCACTTGAAATATTTTCCCATATAGGGTGAGCCACACCCAGTAGAGTATTTTCTATAGAGGCTACTTCCCAACGTAAGTGCATATGCAATGCTCACATGCAACATTTAGCAAACAATAGTCATTCCAACCAAGATTTAAGTAGTCTATGTTGGAATCTAACATGACATGTCATGATATGAGATAGTACCCCCTCATGCAACTCAACTCGAGTCCTCACCAACTCCCGCCACAAAATACTATGCCAATGTATGAAAAATCCGCCATTGATGAATTATATCTAATGATCATTTTGAAATAAAGTCATGTGGTTATAAAATTAAGTCATTGTTGGATGTTACATATTGAATGACTATTTTATAAAACAAATACACTTTTTTGGAATTTCACCTTAGGGGAGTGTACGAACCAAATATTTTATAAAACAAAATCATGTGTCTTTGTTGGGTAGCGGATTTTTTGGTGTCGCACCGCCGGCTCTGTAAACCAATACACTTTTTCAAAATTTTACCTCAGGGGAGTGTATAAACCAGATAGCCAGGTCTTGCACCCGAGGGAGAGTCTAGCCCTACTTACTATACCCGACACAAGTTTTTCATGCAATCGTGCAATTCAGTCGGACTTTCAATCCCATTTTCCCGAGCCCACCCATCAACCCCTAAATATGGTGTTTGATTTAAACCATGCACACACCCATACCCATACCCATGTCTTATGCCCATGGTTGTGATGCTTCCATGCAAATGCAATGTAATGTACCATTGTTATTTCTATATCATGACCCATATATAATGAATGTCTTATGAGCAAATTTAACCACATCTCATGTGTATAATCACCATTTCATTTACACAATTTCCAAGCATGTTATCACATGATCATGGAATTAACACACTAAACTCCTCAAGACAATAATGTAAACACATAACATGCCCTTAAATCACCTTTCTATGGAATTACACAAGCAACTACCACATATCAATTCCAAGCTAGGAATTTATTTTAAAACATTTCTAATACCCATTTCTATCAATTTCACAACAATTGGTAAGTGATATATAATTCTATCAACCTATCCATTACATATAACACCCTAGGTTAGAAAATAAACCTAAGTAGGAGGGAACTCTACCTATTGAAGCGTGAAATCAACGTACAAGACCTTCAAGAAATTCAATCAAGCTCAAACCTTTGATCTCCTCAAGCCTCGTTTTTGGAGCTTCGATGAACTTTTCAATTTTTGGTATAGTCTTGTAGCCCACATCCAGGAGAACGGCTTTTCCTCTTGGCCCGTGTTGATTCGATCACTCAATCTTCGTAGATCATAGAGAGAAGGTGAGAACTCTCTCTTTTTCCCTCTCTTCTCTTCTCACGTTGAAACCGACTGATCAAATGGGGGAGAAATCAGATTTTTTCCCTATTTTATAGCCTTAGAATACTTGGTCCACAATGCGCCACATGACCCTTTTTTTCCCGAGTCAGTTTTTGCCCCGAAATAATTAAATTTCACCCTAGTTCAAGTTCAAAATATTTTTATTTTAATTTTCCTTAAATTAATTTTAAAATTTTATTAAACATCTCATTTTTGGGTCACCCGAGACTCGACCGCCTCTTAAAACATGAAAAATTTGACTATATCAAAATTTGATAAAATTTGACGAGGTAACTAGATTTTACGAGACGAATCCAACGGTGAGGTCCATTTCATCATCTGAGGTTTAGAAAATTTCAGATTTACAACCTGTACCATAGTAGCGAATTACCATTTTGCTCTTTTTCATAAAAAGTTTAAATTTACCCGGGTTTTACATGACTCGACGAAAACTAATACACTTGGAACCCTCATTTCGTTGGGGCAATAGAGGCCTTCATACTCGGGTCTATTACCCGTCTCCCATCTTCCACCAATCATGATGAGATCTCGGATGTAACCTTTATCTGATTCAGGAATATGAGTCACTAAGTACATTGAGGGATCCTGAGATTTAAGATAGTATTTCTAGTTGTTGGTTGTCTTCATATCATAATAGAAAAAGATCTTGTCTACCCCAAGATTAATCCTCAATCAAGCGTTGAGGGCGACTATGCCCATCATTATCCTATATAGGTTCACACAACACTAGCAAGGGAAAAGCCTAAAGTGTATCAAGAACTTCAAAAGAAGAGGGGCAAGGCGAAATTTAACCCCTCCTTTCATGATTATCTTGGTATGGAGTGACATAAGGTCATCACTCCCTTCATTTGCCCTATGGAACAGGGGGTCGAAGACAAGGGTAACAAAGTTATCAGGGATGTTGTAGGTGGACCTAAAGTCATTTCAAATGCACTCAGTCACTTGGGGTTTTCAATGCTTCCCCTCTTTTCTAGGTCTATTGACCCTTGGGGCTCTAGTTCTACATTCCCTAGCCATTGGATGTTGTACAAAGGATAAAAGAAAGAAAAGAGAAGGAAGATTATGAAGATCATTGGATGAAGAGTACTTATAGGTTTTACAGCTAGCCTAGTCCTACTGAAGAACCACTTAGGAAACCAAACAACGCAAAGAAAGCAATCGTTAGAGGAGTCTCTCACCTTCCAATCCCTCCTCTATTTATATTATTCAAAAGTGGGAGCAGTTGGCAAAAAAGTTGGACTCAATAAACAAAATTCAAAAAAGGGGCGGCAAACATGCGAGTAACAGCCCTAAAAAAATAGACGCATGCATAGGAAACCTCCATTCTCCTCGTGACACCTATCCCATGATACAAAGAAAATGCAGGTTAGGAGGCATTTGATGGGACGTTTGCGGCCATCCAACTAGATACTGACACGTGACCACTTATGTTGTCGAGACGCATGAGATTCCCATGGTAGCTGAGACTGAGAGATTGGAGTGCTCAAGACCTAGAGGCATGATCAATGCCAAATATTAAATGACATCGATATGTGAGCCTTGAGCACTACATTGATGTGACAAGTCATCATTTATTATCTACCCCGCGAAGGGTCTGAGAACAACTGTCAAGGGGCATGGCCATCATCCCTGATGGATGGCCCTCGAGGTATCCCATGAACACTCATAGATGAACGGCAGTAGGCCACATGCATCTACGTAGAACACGCGATGGTTGAAGATGGAATCATAAATGCTTGGCCCATTCTAGGATGCAAACCCCGACGTTCAATCATCCAACATTAATGAGGTGTGACAGAATAACACTTATTATGCTAGGCGATGAGCACAGACTACTAAATATTGGAATGCAAATGGGAAAGACATCATTACAATCCTAGGTATAAATACCCTATAGAAACAAAACTCAGGTAAGCAAACAATAATAAATTTGCACTGTACACTTTATCCAAACTCAAACGCCGACTGACTTAACCATCGGAGAGGATAAGTTGGGTGTACATCCGGCCCCTTTCTTGACTTTGTTATTTCTTTCAGGACCATCCATCGAATTTGTCATAAGGGTCGCTATCTTAATACGTTGTAAGAAATCTCCCATGTAGCAATTCAATTCGGACTATATTTAATTGATGAATCCTCAATTTGAAAGTAATTCGAATGGGACCTTTAGTCTAAACATATCAATTGAAATGTTGTCAATTCAATTCTCAAATTAAAATTCTAATTTAAGTCTAAGATTATACAACTTGATTTGAAATTCAAATTGATCTTCAATTTTTGAAACACAACATATTTATATAAAACTTCAGATTTTAGTAAATTCAAGATGGATTTACGTTGAGTTAAAAATAAAAAAAAACTAGAGACTCTCATTTGAGTGTTGTAGGAATTCAAATCAAGATGAAAATTTTTCGTAAGTTCTAAAAATTTCTATCTAAGCATTCGATATTTTGATTGAAGATCTACTGGGTTCAAAATGACATATTCAACAGGAGGCCACCTCGTCTACTTGTAAATAGCCAATCATGCATTTTGTTTTTGTGGTTAGGTAAGAAATATTTATATATCCGAGGACATCCGTACCTAATCTCTATTTACGGGTCTACGCCCATTGTTAAATTGAGCTTTTCGTCCCTTCCGGTGCAGTTATATTTAGCGATTATTCGTGGTGGGCTCCATGTTGTGAGACCAACAGAAACGACCACAGTTGGATTTGTACCTAAGCACATGCAAACAATAGGTCAAACGTCAATGAAACTCTATAGCCTTTCATTTTCCAAAACGACCCTCTGGACACGACTTTAGAAATCTTAACTATCCATCTTTTATTCTTTTTTTTTTCTTCTTTTTTATTCTTTTGGACCAAATCATTCAAGTATCTAGATGCACCCATAAAACAATCAAATTATAACAGGGATATTTTTGAAAATATTTCTTCCCAGTAGTTTAATTCTTGACTTTTTCAGTCATTATTTGAACTTTTTAAAACAAAATAATTAAATGTTTGCCCTTTTCCACTTCTTATTTCTTTATATAGATGATTAATCTCTGCCTTTTTCATAACAATAACGCTACGCTGACTAAAATTAAGGACCAAATAAAGAGATCAAATGACATGACAATTGACTTAGAAGGCTGATTACGTAAGACTAATATTTGATTAAATCCAAAAAATCTTTTCGTCTTCTCTGCTTCTCTAAAACGCACAAACAAAAAATACAGAGAAAAAAAGTTATGTTTGGCAAAAAACGTAAGAAAAATCTTGTGTTCCCTTTGGCCCTTCTGTCCAAAAAGACGTCTCTATCCAAGAAGCCAAAGAGAACTACCAAATACAGATGTCTCTCTCCAAGAAGTTCAATGTATTTTCAACTTCCTCCATTGGCCGAAGAAGCAGGTTGTTTCACATTGATCTTCTTGGACGTAGATCAAAGTAATCTATCTCAAAATTCAGAAACATCTACTACTCTATTTTTTGTTGTTCAAGGTATTCCCTAGACCCTTAGACTATGTCTGACTTTGTACAAAAACCTTGGATGCACCCCCAACTGATTGATTAAATGCTTATTTGGCTTCATAGTACTTTTTTCGAATCTTTCTGTCTCTGATCTCGTAATACTATTTTATCACTTGGAAAACTACTTTCATACTTATGTAAAAACTCTAAATTAAATGCCTTAGAATGTTGCTGGAGTAGTTGGTTGTTTTATGGACAATGAATGTACATACTTGTTATAAAGCCGGTTGGTGAAATTTAACCATCAAACATAGTGAGAATTTTCTGACCTAAAAAAAAAATAGTTAGAATTTAACTTCGTGTGTAAAAAAGAATAAGCTCAAGGTAAAATTGTTACTTACCTTCAAGGTGAGCCATTTTCTGCATGGCTATTGGGGCAATCATGATAGGCATTGAAATCTTGAAGAACAAGACAGTGGTGGCCATGTCTATTTTGCTCACATCGATAAGAATATGGGGTCAAAACCTTTATTTCATTAGCAAAGTCTTTCCAGAGGTCAGCTTGTAGCAAAAATAAAAAAAAATTCACAGACAAATAACCAAAATCTTAATTTAGGGATTAAAGCTTTGTGAGCCAATATAGGAAGCTTACAGATTGTTGAGAATGCATTTCTGCTCTCTGTCAGACTCCACTGGTCCTCTGCACCTGATGCATAATAGTCAAATATCATCTTTGGCAACTTTTGCTTGGCAATGGCCTCATACTCGCTGACATTTGATGCGCTGATAGTAACTTTTAGAGTGACCAGTTATATTTATTCCAGTGACAATCTACTATTTATATGTTCTTTGATTATCTATGTTTTGTTCTTTATTGGATAGGAATGGAAGAAGACATTCCAACTAGCTATACAAGTATGGAGATGGATGGTAATACTTGTGAGAAGGAAGTTGATAATACAATCAATGTAGAAGAAAAATTAGAAGAGACAAAATTGGGAATGGTGTTTAATACAGTTGACAAAATAATAGAGTACTACATAAGATATGGTAATGGCCTAGGGTTTCCCACAAAAAGAAGAACACCGTCAAAGGGAGATGATGGAGAGCTAAGATATGTGACATTTGCATGTTATCGCTCGAAAAAGTCAAAGTCTACATCAAGAAATACCTTCCAAATGCATCAAATCACCAAAACTGACTGTAAAGCTAAGTTGAGAGCAACTATATGTCCCGATGGCAAGTGGTGAATGACTTCCATCATGCTTGCACATAACCATGGGTTGAGTCTAGTCAAATCTCGTTTCTATCGATGCAATAGGATAATAAGACCATACATCAAAAGAAGATTTGAAATGAATGACAAACCAGAAATTTGGATTAACAAGAATTTTAATTCTATTGTGGTTGAAGTGGGTGGGCATGAGAATGTTCCCTTTTTGGAGAAAAATTGTAGAAATTTTGTTGACAAAGTAAGGCGGTTGCGACTTGGGTACGGAGAAACTACTGCGATTCACAATTATTTCCTGAAAATGCAAGGTGATAATTGAAAATTTTTCTACATGTTGGATTTGGATGATGAGGGTGGTTTACGAAATGTATTTTGGGCAAATGCTAGGAGTAGAGCAGCATCTAAAGAGTTTGGTAATGCCATTACATTTGACACCACATATTTAACGAATAAGTATGACATGTCATTTGCTTCTTTTGTTGGGGTCAATCACCATGGTCAATCGACTTTATTAGGATGTTAATTGGTATCAAGTGAAAATGTTGAGACGTTTCTTTGGTTATTTCAATCTTGGGATGCTTGCATGTCTGGTCATACTCTAAATGCAATAATTACGAACCAAGACAAGGCAATTGATATTGTTTTTTCCCAATACATGCCACAAGTGATGTTTGTGCCATATAATGAAGAAGTTGCCAGAAACATTGACAGGTTATAAATAGTATGAGTCAATAAAGTTTGCATTGCAGAGTGTTGTATATGATTGTTTGACCAATGAAGAATTTGTAGAATGGTGGAATAAAATGATTAAGAAATATAATCTTGAAAGCAATGAGTGATTGCTTAGATTATGTGATGAGAGGCGTCGATGGGTGCTAGAATTTATGAAAGATACTTTTTGGGTGGGAATATCTACCACACAACGCAATGAGAGCATGCATACATTTTTTGATGGATATGTCAATTTCAAAACTACGTTAAAATAATTTTTTTAACAGTATGCAAGGTAGAAAAAGAGAACCAAGAAGAGTTCAACTCCTATAATTCATGGATTCCTTGTGTAACTCATTATGTCATGGAGAGGAAGTTTCAAGATGCTTATACTATTGGAAAATTTAAAGAGTTTCAACGTGAATTAACAGGAAAGATATATTGTGAATTGTCTTCGGTTAAAGATAATGATTCCTTTTCAAATTATGAAATATCTGAAGATATAAAGGTTGGGGAGTCATCTCGGCATGCATCTTCCAAAGTTTCTTTTATTCGTGATAAGTGTGACATTAAGTGCAATTGTCGTTTGTTTTAATTTAGGAGCATTCTATGTAGACATGTAATCACAATGCTAATTCATAAGAAGATTTTAGTGATTCCAGAAAAATATATCATTTGGCGATGGTGGAAAAATTTGAAGAGGTGTCACACGAAGGTGAAGGTTAGTTATGATGATTTGAGTGTCAAACCTGAAGCTTGCCGTTTTGAAAAGATGTGTAATACATTTTATCAGGTTGCAGACTTGGCAACTAATTCTGAAGAAAAGACCAATTTAGTGATGCAGAGACTAAATGAATTGAAAATGGACCTAAAAAAATATAATTGTGTTGGTAAGAGTGGCCAGCCTACTACCAATATGAATGTTGGGATAACAAATACTTGTAGTGATGTTAATCCAACATCAAAAGAGAATGTAAATATACTTGCTCTAGTGGTAGTTCGTAGTCAAGGGCGACCACCATATAAAAGGAAGCAATCTAAGGTCGAGGAAGTAATTAGGAAAAATGAGGAAAAGAAAAAAAAAGATGGAAGCAAAGACAAACATAAAAAATGCAGGGAATTATATGAATGTATGAAATATTTGAATTATGTGATTTTTAAATTAATTCTTTTTATTTTGTTCACATTGCTAATTTTATAAATTTTTTGTAGGATTCTAACATGTTCTAAGGCAATAAAATTGGTAACATTGATGATGCATTAAGTACGGAAGTTGTTGACATAGTTGATATTCAACAAAGTATTGCATTAAAGGTATAAGATTGTATTTTCTAATTTGAGCAATTATATTGAACATTTTATTATGAGTTATTTATTTAGTTGTGGTTTATTATGTGTTATGAAGGCCAGCTCACCCTCCTTGTATGGGGGCAACTTTACTCCTTTAGTACATGAATATAGAGGTAGATATATAATGGACAACATGACACACTCTAGGTTTTCACACCAAAATATGTTACAGGTATATCTTATTTGTTTTATTTAATAGAAAATGTGTGTTGTATTTAACATGTGTTCTTTAAAATTAGGCTCAACACTTTTTATATTGGAGAGGTATATATGGTATAGATCATGTTTCCTACTCTACAATAATATTTGGAATCAATGATACTACACAATTGTCCAATATCATACAACAGCCGGTATGAGATTCATTTGTTAATTTTTATCTAATTCACATCTCCATGCACTTTAACTTTCTTCCAAAATTTTCATATATATAGGGAAGCCAAAATTTAGGAAGGGATGAGAATTCTGACAAGGGTGGTTTAGAGTGTCCAAACCAATAAGTGAGTTATGAACTCCTTATATACCATTTTAAGTTCTATTAGGTTTTTTGATTTTTCAACAACTTTTGGATTCATTTATATACAATTTTAAGATCTATTAGTTTGGTTTGTGTAGGCAAAAGTCAATGCCGAGGAAAATACAACAATTTTTGGTGCAACTTCAAAGTCAAATGGAAGACAAAGAAAACATATTTTTATTTGTTTTGTTTTGTTTTGGAAATGGAGTTATGATGTATGAGATTAATTTTTTGGGTTCATTTATTTCTATGAGTTTTATCATTATAGAAATAATAGAAGATTGAATAAAACAAAACACTATAAGTTTTAGCTTATGTAGTTGGTTATACGTGATATTGGTAAAAATTAGTTAGCATTATTTTTTGATTGGCCTGTGCAATAGCCTTCTTTTTATTTTTTCAGAAAGTAAAATTTCAATTGATCAAAAAAGTGTACAAGAAAAGGGAATGACCCTTACAAAAATAATACTGAGGCATTCCCAGTAACCAAGTCAAAAAAACCAAAAGATAACATAGGCCATGAGAAAAGAACAATGGCCATGCAAGAATAAAAATAGTTGGTGTTCCTTGGAGATAGAATTTAGAAGGAGTGGAGGCCTTGAGCTTAAACTTCAATCCAAATTCCTCATTACAGACCCAAACTCTGAGATAATAATTATTTGATCGCTCCCTCACTATGTGCAAAAAAATATGTTAGAGTTGTTCAAAAAATTCACCAAAGCAACAAACCTACAATGATTTGGACAGAATAAATTTGGGGGGGGGGGGGGGGAGGGGGTGAAGTAGCTGCCTTGAGCCAAACCTTTCACCAAGCAAGAACAAAGGTGGGCAGCACTACGTATAGGAAGAACATAGTTGAGGGGGGAAGGAGAATTCTTTGATCGCTCCCTCATTTGCTTTGTAATTGCAATTCCTCTATAGAAAGGGATGAGCACTGCGTCACTTGGAGCATGTTAAAGAGCAAATTTGAAATTTCTTTGGGAATTTGCTTTTGCTTGAACTCAATAGAGATAAAACTCAAAGACACTGAAGAAATGCTCTTGAGCCAAATAAGCATTTTATCGAAGAGTTGGAGTGCATCAAAGTATACATTCGGGCAAAAATAATACAGAGAAGGAGAAGAGCTCAAGCATAAGTTTACATTGTAATATGTAAATCAAGTACAACGTCAAAGAACATAAAAAAAGTTACAACGTAAAAGTGTAACCAACACACTTGGGTGGCTACACATAAGTAAGAGGACAAAAAAACCACTACAGAAGCAATCTTGAATGTATAATCTGAATTTAAGACGCAATCTTCCCTCCTCTGGTCCCGGTCGACATTGTTCTTTTCTTTATTTTTTACTTGGTCATTCAAGATGAAGGCTTGAAGCCAAAGAGAACTTCTTGGAGAGAGATGTCTGTATATGGAAGTTCTCTTTGGCTTCTTGGAGAGAGACGTCTCATGATATATTGATTACACAAAGTCATAGTATAGAAAAGTTCTTGCGTAAGGATACCCATACCACTAGCGATCACTACATAAACTTATTTTTTTCCTTTTCACCAGCATGAAGACCAGCAAAGTATATCTAAGGGTTGCTCTCGAAGCTAGCCCTTGAGACATATGATGATCCTCCCCCACTCGGAGCCTTCATCATTCCAGACCCACCGCCACCACCGTCACTTCCCTTTGGGCAACAAGAGGTTCAAACCAAAGAGAACTGCTTCTTTGTTTTTTACTTGATTATTCAATATGAAGGCTTCAAGCTAAAGAGAACTTCTTGGAGAGAGACGTTCACTTTGGCTTCTTGCAGAGAGAAGTCTCTTTAGACAGATGGGCCAAAGAGAACACAAAAACTTTCCTATGCTTACGTTTTTTGCCAAACATAACTTTTTTTTCTTTGTATTTTTTGTCTGTGCATGTTAGGAAAGAGAAGAAGACAAAAAGATTTTGCCCTATTTTTCCTTGATTTGGGGCTTGAATTTTGGGGAGGAATTTTTTGGATTTAATCAAATATTAATCTTGTCTAATCAGTCTTTCAAGTTAACTGTCATATTATTTAAACTCTTTATTTGATTTTTAATTTTAATCGGTATAACATTATTGTTTTCATAATAAGTCATGAGATGGAAGTGACTTGAGTAAATGTGAATGTGAAAGCGGAGGGAGATGCTAGGGTAGCCAAAAAGGGGGGGGTCGGGGGTTGTCACTTCGATCTCAGTTTATTACCATGACTTAAGCTAAATATGTTCAGAAGGAAAGTCACTCGGGGGCAATATGGAAAACCCAAAATCATTTGCTAGGGTACAATAGTCATTTTGAACGCAAAATAATACTTACATAGACGTTTGTTCATTCGAGTACGGTTGTTCATTTTTCTCCCATATAACATTGTCCTCTCCATCCATTCTCACATTCACATCTAAACGTCCCCGCACAGAGGGAAAAAAAAAATTCAGAGAGAGAGAGACTTCAGAAAGATGGGCAACACGCAAAGGTGTTGTTTGGCCTGTTTTCTTCCCTGTGGAGCCCTAGACTTGATCCGTATAGTCCACCTGAATGGCTACGTAGAAGAAATAACACGTCCAGTCACGGCCCGTGAGGTCCTCAACAACAACCCTAACCATGTTTTGACCAAACCCTGCTCTCAGGGGATGGTCCGGCGGATCCTGATACTGTCGCCTGAGTCGAAGCTCAAACGAGGAAGCATATACTTCTTGATTCCGGCATCATCGCTGCCGGAAAAGAAGAAAAGTCGAAACCCTAAGAAGTCCTCCAAAAGGAGTAAGAAGTGCAGCTCTAACGAACTCGATTCTAATAGTTACTTGTCCGACATTATGTCGGAAAAGAAGTCGTCACGTCGGGATCGCCGGAGCAGACGGATTGGGGTATGGCAGCCACATCTTGAAAGCATTTCAGAACACTGATGATTTTTTTTTCCGGAGCCGGAATTGGACACTCTGAGTCTGAGCCTGAGCCTGAGGATAACATGGAATCCATACTTTTTTCCCAATCATACGTGGGGTGATTGGTGTTGTAGATAAATTTACATCAGTGCTTTTCCTTTTTGTGTTTTTTTTTTCTGGCGGCATGTAATGCTAGCAGATTCGAAAATCTCATTTTCAGTATGGTGACAATCTGTTTGTCCCAAGAAAATCATAAGAAGAGGGAAAGAGAGAGCAATTTGTACTCAACGAAAGTATACTTTTAACACTTTCATGTTGATGGGCTTCGTTGGTCTCATTTATTAGACTAGAGATGAGAAAAGCACTAATTTGGTTATATATATATATATATATATATATATAAAGGACGGTAAAGTGCAAGAGAGACTCACGTATATTTGTGGAGTTTGAAAAAATTTAATGGGCTAGATATATATAATTTTATTTTGCACGTAATCCTGGATGATCTGTTCTGGAGAATGGATCGTTTTGCAATAATTTCAATTCTTAAGTGGGCAAAAAATATAGAATGATTCCAATCCACATGCGTCGACCAAGTGGACAACTAACTATTCTGTAGTTTTGTAATGGGGCTTTGGTGTGCTTTAATGTCAACTAATTTAAAGATTGATTGCTATCAAAATGTTGTGCTTGTCAAGAGTGATGAATGGCTGTCATTGCCTGTACACAGTACTCAAATATAATTTTGTAAACCATATATTTCTCTATGACCTAATTAGCCAACAGAGAGGAGGGAATATAGGTGTGGCAACTTTTGGCACCGATATAGTTTAATATACTTTGGTATAATGAAAAAAAAAAAAGAATGATAAAAAATTGAAATTATAGATAAAATATTATGTTTGGTAAGGAAGAAACATAGGAAGTATGAAAAAGGCGATGGATTGATATTTTTTCCAATTTTTCAAAATTTATCCCCCCAAAAATGGGAGAAAAAGTACAATTAATATTAATTATATGTGTTGAAATATATGTTATTTATTTTTATATCTGTTAATATATGTATATATTTTATTTATCTATTACATAATATCTATACATCAATATTATATATAAAGACTGATGATACCCTGAAGAAATTTCAAATTTGAGTTCGACAGTTGAGGTCATGCAGGGAGCTCAGGCAAGAGACCCTAAGCTCGACAATCCAGGTCTGAGACCTCCTTGACCTGCACCCCGAAGAAGACGCATGGAAGACAGCTCGAAACCACAACGCGCCACTTCCACAGCAGGAAGTGCTAGTCTAGGCAAAAGATCATTAATTGTCACAACCATTGCCTAGAATCAAACAAGACGTTGCAAGGGAAAGACAAAGATCTCGCTATAGACCCCTTCGAATCAGGGACTAAGTTATAAATACTGTAAAAAGTCCTCACTAGGGAGAGAGGAATCCCTTTGGAACAAAGAGGATTTTGTAGCCTACGATCCATCTTGAAAAAAAGTATTTGGAGCAAGAGCCTCCTTTAAGATAGTAGACTAGTCAAGTTTCCGAACTGACGAACCTCTATAATTCTTTAGCGTAATCTCTCCCTTCTCACCCTAAAAGTTGTTGGATTGGAATCACCAGAGCCTTGTAGCTCAGTTCTAATCCCCATTCATACACAATGTCCTATCACGTTTAGTGCACCATAAGACACAGTGGTAAAATATACATGTAATATTTTTTCCATATTTTCACTTTTCTATTTTACTAAACATAAAAAAATTAAGGGTAAATTTTACTCACACCCCCTGATAATTTTTTTGTTACACGAATACCCCACATATTTCAAAAATAACACTAAGACCCTAAATGTTGGATGCCATTAACAATTTAGATAAAAAATACTATTTTATCCTCTAATTACTCAAACCCATTTTCTGACCCAATAACATAACCATATCTTGGGTGATCCATTTTTGACTCACCTCTTTCTACCCTTTCTTCATTTAAATCCCCCATCCCACCTAAGGATAGCAGTGGACTGAGGCGAGGGCGGGGGGAGTAGTATACACCCCAGTCCACCCCTGTTGACGGGGGAAGTTTTAATCCCCATCCCCACCCCATGAGTAAATTCTAATCCCGGCCCCAGGCTCCGCCCCCGCCCACACCCACACCCACACCCAATACAATTAATTTTTTGTGATATTAAGAAAAAAATTATAAAATTTAAAGTACAAGTTGTATCCCTGTATGCATGTATCACATGATATGATCAAACAAAAAATAAAGAAATAAGTCAACAACATAATCCTTGAATAATTGAGCAAAAAAGCAATAACAATAATATTAATAAGATTAAAAGCTAGTCTACAAACATAATCCAACATAATTCATAATAACAACATTCTAAAAAATATCATAATAGCAATAAAGATCCAATCTTAAATAGGCTTCATGTAAAGTAGAAACTTGTCTTCCATCTCCAATCAAAATAGAACAAGTTTGGACGAATCCCCATTTGTTCTTGGTCCGTTGTCATCCCTAATCCCACCCCCAATCCCAAACCCTAGCAATCTCCCATATCTTGTCGGTGGTGGTGGTGATTGTTGCTAATGGGGTGGTGGTGGTGATTGTTGCTAATGGAGTGGTGGTGGTGATAAAGGTGATGTTGGTACAGTGGTGGCAACATTTTGGAGAAGAAAGGGGATGCTAGGGTTTACAATCATCCCCTCAAATCTTCTCTCTCTCTCTCTCTCTCTCTCTCTGTTACAATGATGAACATATGTGGTGGTTGATGATGGGTTTGGTCTTAGTACTCTTCACCTCATATCTCTCTCTCTCTCTCTATCTTTCTCTTAGTGATGAATAGAGATGGTGGTTTGTGGTGTTGGATGATGGGTTTTGTGGAGGTGGTTTGGGTTGTGCAGTGGTGTTGGTGCATTGGTGGTGCGTGCATTGCAGTGGTATTGGCATGTGTTGTAATGCGTGCATTATAGTGGTAAAGACATGTAGTGCAATGGTGGTGATGTTATAGAGGGGAAAGGTGTAGCTAAAGGAACGAAATTTTGACCAAAGTTAAGATCGAAGGGGAAAGGGATAACCGACGATTTTGACCAAAATTTATCCTAAATTCACTTTATGTTTAATTCACTTTTAAATTGTCACTAAAATCAAATAATTCATCATTTAAAGTAATAAAATTTATTTTCAATTAAATGATACAATGTTAGTTAATCTCAATAAAGTACAAAAGATTTTAAATCTTCCAAAGATATAAAAATGGCGTTTGCTTTTTATGACTCAAATTTAGCTAAAATTTTCAAACTTTGATCCAATGGCCGAAAACTCACCTATGATTACTCTTTGTTTGTAATGACCACATGCACATCAATCCAATGCCTTGATTGGCATAGAATATTCCCTATATATGGAGCCCCTAATTCTCTTAGTGCAGCTTTAGAAAAAGGCATTGGTAAATTTCTCACACCCCTTGATTTTTGGTAAAATAACATAGTGACCCCATATTTTTAAAATTATATGCCAATCCCTTGAGTTTTACAAATCATAACACACAGACCCCATTTCCCTAACAATCGCCAATAACACAAACAAAAGAAAATGACATCAACCAATAAAAGTTATACATTTCCAAAAGTGTCCCTGTATGATAACACTAAATTTTAAAACAAATTTACCCCAAAAATATAAAGTGAGAAGACAATCCTACCTAGGGACGTCAATGGACCGAAGCGGGGGCGGATGGTAGAGTTTTCATCCTCGTACCCGCTTAAAAAATCTTCGTCCATCCCCGGACCACCCCTGCTAACAGGTATAATTTTTATCCACATTCCCGTCCGCAGGTAAATTTATAATCCCCATCCCCGTCCCCGCTTCCCCCATACCCGCCCAAGCCCAATTAGTACTGTAAATGAGCTAATGGACAGAGTGGATCTCAATTTGTTCTGTAAATGAGATGGGGAACTGGAAAATGAGTGGATCTCATCCTTGAATGTCCCCAATAAATGACATAGATCAAGCAAAAAAATGAGAGCATAGAAGGCAAAAACAAAAAAGTCAAAGCATAGATTCCAATCGACAATGCCAAGAAGTAAAAACATTCATCCAACACTGAAACTTAAATGCCCCAAACTGACAAAGGAACTGGACACATATGAGATCATTATGATGATTCTTAACTATTATCATTCTGATGATTCTTAACAAGCATAAATAAAAAAAATCCATAAATAATCATAAACTGTTATTCTGATAATTTACAGATGTACAACCCCAAACTAATCATAAAAAAAAAAACCCAAAATCAAGGAAACCCCAAGGGAGAGCTTGCTCATGTCTGTGAAGTTTAGACCAAGAAAGTGTCAAATTGATGCAGCAAGACCACAAAATTAGATATGCAAAATCGATTCACCAGAAAACATTGGACTCAATTTCACCAATCGCGTGAGCTCGTACACATATAGACAATACGTTTATATACTTTGATATTGAAATTATAACGTGGAATAGTTTACCATAGTCAGAATGAGGTCGTTTGAGCAAGCTTGCTGAAGGATGTAGAGACGGTTGACCATTCCAGTAGCCCTCTGCCATCTCTTCTGCAATCAAAAATCATATTTTCTTTTCTCGTTTTTGGAGTCTTTACATGAATATACTTGTGTATCCACTTCTTACGGGAGAGAGAGGTTATGGTAGTGGAAACCGTAATGGACGCGAGAGAGAGTGTGTGTTGCTGCTCGGCTCACTGAACTGGAGGCGTTGTCCGTGGAGGCCTTTGTCGTTTGGTTTGGGTGGAGTGGAGGCGCAGAGCCTAGAGGCAGACGGTTGATAAGTATAGATATATATATACTATAGACTTATTATATATATATATATATATATATATAATATATATATATATATATATATATATATATATATATATATATACATAACGGTAACAGGGATAGGGCGGGGCGGGGCGAGGGTAAAAGTAAGTCCA